AGTGGTTCGCTTGGAAGAAGCAGCTTTTGCATCCTCTGTTCTTTTAACAGTAGTATGAAAGTATTCTGAATATTATTAATTGATAACCTACCACAAGTCTAATGTAGAATTTACTTGCATTATACTTTGAATAAATGAGGAATTTAAGAATTATATATCAGCTATAATCAAAGAATAAATGTTAATGGAATTAAATAAAATAATGGAACATTTTTCCATAAAAAATGTTCCAAAGGTTTGTTCAAGTTAGAAATTTTAAATGCGAGGACTCTTTTTGATGCCTAATAAAATACATATCTTACGAGAAGAACCCGTGAATTATTCTTTAAGAACCATTCTTAAATGTTTATTTTAATTTAAAAAATGTAATCCGAGAGAGAGAGTACAATTTTTGGTTAATTAAAAAAAAAAATGATTTCATTAATAATCTTAAAAATGAAACTTACCGATAATAGTTACTTGCTAGACAATTTGATATTGTTCAATCAAACGAATATTTAAACAATATTGACGAAATGTTATTGAAATTAAATTATCTTATTACATTTTCTTCTGCTTATCAACATCTACATTACGATAAAAATTTATGTATACATTTTGTGTGTTGGTACACGTGGTGCTGTGATATTCATTTATCCTTAAAAAATAGTATATTTATATATTTAATATAACATCCTATGGTAGCATCCACATAGTATTATTATTTTAAGTTCTATTATTTATAATTTCTCATACATCCTTTCTTAAATCTTATGTCTGATTTAACTTGCAATTTCGATTTTTTTTTCAGTTTTGATGATTATTAACTATTCATCTCTCTTAAGTAGAGAATTTTGAATATATATTTAATATTTTATGTATAGAAATTATTAGATTTATTTTTCTGTGGTACTTTTTATTTGATATTTAGCATTTTTAATTAGTTTTGTAAATTTAGCATTATTCTTCTAACGTTATGATTATTATCCTTATAGTATTAATATAAGCCTTTTTGCAAATAACCTGCGAAGGTTGGCTGGCCATAAGGCTATGTTTAACAGTGCAGTCTTAGTTCCTAAGGCTATGAATTTGCTATTGTATTGCTGAGGCTATCATATTTTTTAGACTTAAATTGTCTTGTTATACTTCTATTTTTACTTTCTTCTTTAGTTTTATAGCAATTTTGTATATTATGGTTGATTACACACATACACACGTGCACACGGACACGCGCACATGCACGCACATACACACATGCACACACACACATGCACACACATATACACTCATGGACAAAAAAATTAGCGCACCAAGAAATAATTGCGGGATCATAACGAAACTTGGCATGAATGTTCATGTCGCAGAGATATTCAAATGATTAGAAATGCGGTGTGATTGCGCATTACGTATAGAGGGCGTTTAACGTTGTCTCCATGGAGTATAAAACAGGTAACCAAAGCTTGTTTGAGTGTGCTGAATCGCTTACAAAGGAAGACTTGAGGTAGACATGCTATTACGCCGTTTTCGAAGACAATGAGCAGCTGTCGCAGTTTGAGAGGGGGAGAATCATCGGCATCATGGAAGCTGAGTGGTCAGTTAGGCGAGTAGATCGTCAAATGGGTCACTCTGATTGTGTTGTGGGGAGGTGTTGGGATCAGTGGATCCGAGAGATGTCATTTACACGAAGACCAGGCTCAGGACGCCCTCGACAGACCAGTCGTCGGGAAGACAGCCACATCGTAAGAAATGCTCGCATACAGCCAACTGCTTCATTGGCCGCCATCCAGGCACAAGTAGCATCTTCACTAGGAGCCGCTGTGTCTTCTCGAATCATACTAAGGTGCCTGGCTGAAGGACATTTGGGATAGCGGCGCCCATTACGTGTGCTGCCCTTGACGCCCACCCATCGACGCCTCCGTTTGGAGTGGAGTCACGCACGAGGAAACTGGACTACAGCGGAATGGAACCAGGTAGTCTTTAGCGACGAATCCAGATTCAATCTCAGCAGTGATGACAATCGTGTTCGTGTGTGGAGACCCCATGGTGAACGCCTCAATCCTGCCCTTGTTTACAGCGACACATCGCTCCCACAGCTGGTGGGATGGTATGGGGTGCCATTGCCTACAATACACGGTCACCCCTAGTATTGATCCTGGGCACCATAACAGCCCAGTGGTATGTCCATGACATCCTGCACCCACATGTGTTGTCACTCATGCAACGGCTCACAGGAGCCATTTTTCAACAAGGCAATGCTCAGCCTCATCAGCAAGGGTGTCAAAAGACTGGCTCCGTACTGTTACTACCATTCCTTGGCATGCCTGATCCCCAGATTTGTCTCCAATACAGCATATCTGGGATCATTTGGGACGGCGAGTTGGGCATCCCACGAGTATGAACGAAGCAGAGGCATGGGTACAGCAAATATGGAACGAAATGTCTCAAGACATCATACAGAACTTGTATGCCTCAATGCCCGATTGTATCGCACCGTGCATTCGCGCTAGAGGGGATTCAACAGGGTATTAAATCCTCCGTTCTTTTGCTTTTTTCAAAAAAATAAAGGATCCTTTTTCTTTGAATTTATATTCATTTACTTATATGAATGTAGTCATTACGTATGTAAATTTTCATTTCATTTTGACGACTCCTTCTTGGTGCGCTAATTGTTTTGTCCATGAGTGTACACACACATACACACACACACACACATATATATATATATATTATATACAGTACAATATAAAGGATAATTACATAGGTAGTAACTGATATATCTACAGTAGAGAGTACATTTTGTGTTTTTCATAATATGAACCATATTTGTGTTACATATTTTTATAATAAATTATATAGTATTTATACTTCCTAGAACTTTTTGAGGCTTATTTTGAAAGAACAGTCAGTATCTGACAATATTTTTTTAAATTAAAAAAAATACATTATTCACATATAAATTCTAACATATACAATTTTCCGCAGTAGCCTAGTGATCATGGTCACGAGTTCGTGGCCAGTGTCTTGAGCTCGAGCCCTAGTGTCACTGAAGACCCGCCGTGTACAGGGGTTGATACATGTTAAATCTATCTTGTCTCAAAGTTCTCCTGTTGCGAGGTGTGGTAGTTTAGAGAGGATGTGCCAGTTTGGCTGTCGTACTCGCCAATTACCGAGGTTTAAAATTATGAAGTACGTTGCCAATAGCCTTTATGTGGCTTTTAAGTGTGACGTTAATAAACACTAATTGTCCTTGTGTTCGATTGAAGAAATATAACTTTTAGTCCTCTTTTTTTAAAATTAAAAGTTGAAACAAGCTATATATATATACTGGATAGGCTGTATAATTATTCCGTAGAGATATGTTTTTGGATTAAATGAAAAGAAATTCGTGTTTGGTTATTTTTCTTATTTTCTAAAGTTGAAAGTAATAACATTTAAAAATGATAAAAATATTCATTTTAAAATTGGATTTTGTAAACAATAATTTTTTAGAATTCTTTCTCTCTATTGCATACTTTATCATAGACTTATATTAAATAAATTTTCCGCCATTACAATTTTATTTTAAAGTTCATGTTAACATAATCATTTTTTTCCGATTAATTTCATTTAGTTTTTTCTAGAAAACATTTCTTATAAGTAAATACATGCATAAAATGATAAAAGCATTTATTAATGTATATAATGCATTTTCTCTAAGAAGGCGATAAAATATATTCATTGATAATTAAATGTCTGATATCTTCTCTTTTAATGCTCGATATGTAATCTTTATTTCATATTTTTTTTCCTTTTGAGCCTCGTAATAAGCTTTTTTATTTATATTTCGTGGGAGAAAAACTGTTAATATAAATCAGACATGTTGAGCCTGTTTTCCTAGAGGGACCATACCATCTAGATTCCTTTCTTTTAGGTTTATCTACTTATGAAATTATTACTATCATTCACAACATGAGTTATAGTTATTTTTTGCGATATATGACAAGACGTCAAATTTATATTTTGACACGCTGATAAATACATATTTATTCTCAATATTGCATTTATATAGGACTGAAAAATATATTTAACGCAATTTTTTGAGCAATAGTAAGATTTTTTTTGATAGAAATATGTTCTTAAATCACAAGGAATTAAAATCGTTTCGTTTTTCTTACTTTTAAAAAAATACTGTAATGACCTTTGAGGAAATTTTTTTTTTAACTATATATAATTTAAAATACCCATTTTAAAGGGAGGCTGTGATTGATTTGATTAATAAATTAATTAGAACACTACACATGGTGATAAATATATATCTGAATTTTTTTTGAAGAACAGTAATCCCTCGACTTTGACTCTCCTGAATTACGCGAACCCGGAGTTATGTGATTTTCAAATATCATTGATTCCTCTTTTGTTTGAGTGCTACACAACTCGATTGTTCACTTCCTGTTTAGCTAATGAAATATTCGCGAGGAATCAACGCTTAGCCAAAATAATCGATTTTGAGTTAGTATAAATAAATTTAAGCAGGAAAATAAATTTAGAAGTGGATAGTGACGACGCGTTCAAGAATTGCTAAATTTCCACAATCAAGAGCTGACAATTGGTGAGCTCATAGAAATGCATGAGCAAGAGCTAGAAATTGAAGAACTTGAGTCTTTAGACCCAGTTCAATCACAAGATCGAATAACGATTGGGAATTTGACAGAGGGCCTCAGTTTAATTGAAATGGTTACAAATTTTTTTAAATATAGACTATAAAAAAGAGCGTAATTTTCAATTCCTATTACTTAGTTCACACTCTTCTTGTATATATTTATATATATATATATCTTGTTCAAATTTTCAATCGTTAATAAAATACTTTTTATTCATCTACTGAAGTTCAACTACATTTTTAAAACTTGTAGTGGATGACACTTGATATGAATACAGTTTTCTCAAATATTAATTCATTAATTAAATTTAATTAATGAATAAATAGTAAAAAACAAAAGTAATAATCCAACACCATATATAAAAGGAAAATCGCTCGTTATATCCCTATAACGCAATGATAGCGTGCTGGATTTCTAATCCAAAGGTCGTGCTTTCAAATCCCATCTGGGATGGCCTAATTTCTGAGATTGTGATTTCTTTTTTTACTATACTATTTTATTGGAATTATTAAATTTAATTTAATGAACAAATAGTAACAAACAAAAATATGAGTCGAACACCCTATTTAGAAAGGAAAATCCTTTTCTATTTTGCCACTTAATATTGTGATTATGTTATATGTATATGCATATTTATATTAATTGTAATTATTTAATACGAAGTAACTAAAATAAAAATTTTATTCGTTGTCCTAAGTAGGAATTGACTTAAAAACTTTTTTATACATTACTTGTGTTTCAACAAAACTGGAAATAAAATAATTATTAGTATACTGCAAAGAAATTTCGCGGGGAAAAAAATTTGAGCCGCAGACACTTTGTTACATTTTATGATACCATCTACATCAAAATAACTTCGGTTTTTGATTTTTTTTCTTGTACTATCCAAGATTGTATTGAACATTGACTTTTTTCGTCTTCGGCCCCAACTAGAAATAATTTATTTGTATTTTTATGCGAGATTATACCCCTACTTACGCGTTTATTACTCAGTCCCACCTATCGTGTAAGCTCGAGGTATTACTGCATTTGTAATTATTAAATTAGTAATTTTAAGTTAAGCTTATAATTATTATAGTTATATATCTAAGGAATTATTTATATCTTAAATTTAACTATAATTGTATAAGCTTATCTATGTAGTTACAAAACATGTATGCATATGCATGTGTGAGAGTCTATGTATCTAAATGTGTGTATATGTGTTGTATGTGTCTAAATGTGTGTGTATACGTGTATGTATCTAAATGTGTGTATATGTGTATGTATCTAAATGTGTGTGTATATGTGTACGTGTTGTATGTGTCTAAATGTGTGTATATGAGTGTATCTAAATGTGTGTGTATGTGTACGTGTTGTATGTGTCTAAATGTATGTGTCGTGTTGTATGTGTATATTTGTATGTGTCTAAATGTTGTGTATATTTGTATGTGTCTAAATGTGTGTGTATATGTGTATGTGTCTAAATGTGTGTGTGTATATGTGTATGTGTCTAAATGTGTGTGTGTATATGTGTATGTGTCTAAATGTGTGTGTGTATATGTGTATGTGTCTATATGTGTGTATGTATATGTGTATGTGTCTAAATGTGTGTATGTGTATGTATCTAAATGTGTGTGTATATATGTGTATGTGTCTAAATGTGTGTGTATATATGTGTATGTGTCTAAATGTGTGTGTATATGTGTATGTGTCTAAATGTGTGTGTATATGTGTATGTGTCTAAATGTGTGTGTATATGTGTCTAAATGTGTGTGTATATGTGTCTAAATGTGTGTGTATATGTGTATGTATCTAAATGTGTGTGTATATGTGTATGTATCTAAATGTGTGTGTATATGTGTATGTATCTAAATGTGTGTGTATATGTGTATGTATCTAAATGTGTGTGTATATGTGTATGTATCTAAATGTGTGTATATGTGTTTGTATGATGATTTTAAATTGTGCATCATCAATTTCACACTGTGTATGTGTGAATGAATGAATAAATGAATGAATCTTATAATGCACAATTAAAACTTAGAAACACCTTTTCCCCTATTGTCTTATAATATATAAAGAAAAAGGAGCCCCCGCGACCTCTTGAATTAAGATGTGTAGTTGTGTGAACGAATTCTAAGACTGAATTACATTTTAGCCTTTATAAGTTGTCAATAAAATACTATTATTTCTAGTTAGATGAAATTGAATTATTAATGTCATATGTCCTTTAAATCGACTGCCATACGTCCAGACTTTAAACGAATAATTAAAAAACCAATAAAATTAGTTTTTATAAAATGTACGTTCTGCCATGAAATCGCTAGGCTAAAATAGCCATATATATTGTTCATACAAAGCACTAGCTAGCTACTACGCAACAATTTGAATCCCTATTTCCTTCTTCTATAGAATAAAGAATCTATTCCAATTAAACTGAACAGAAGCCGTCACGTTTTCGCATAATAAGAAAGTTAGGAGTTTGAGGTACTGACTATTTGTCGTTTTCCTCATCGAAATGTGTTTAAAGATTACAACTCTTTAGTGGCTTACCTTGTTCAGATAAATATTAGAAATATGAAAGAATGTACTCCCACACCCTTTATTTCATTCTTTCTTGTACTTGCAGAATTTTGTCTAAAAAAGGTAGTGGAAAGCCACGCGATAGACGTTGCATGCGATAGCCACGCAACGGGCCGTAAATGCAGGAATAGATCTAATGAAATGAAACTGCTGAGAGAGAACTTACTTTAATCAAATAAAATTCAAACTTCATTTATTGTAAGAAAATAATATTTTTATTCAATTTTCTGCATCATCATTTTCCAAGAAAGACACAATAGATGTGTGGTAACTGAAGTAGGATATAAAAATCCTCGATTGTGTTCAATCAAGAAAACGTGAGAAAACTGCATCAATCGTGGTTCTTTATGTTGTTTTTCCTTCTCTAGAATCAGTGTTCATTGTCAAATTCAGTGTCCGTTTCAAGAATTCCATGAATGGCTTTGCTTCTTCTGAAGCAAAACATTAAAGTCTACAGTTAAGATAATCGGCTTTTAATCATCATCGGATCCAATGATTGCAGCACTCTCTGGTGTGTACAGCCCTAAAACTTTATGGATAAAGATAACAGCTGCGACAGAACTACCTGGTGATGTATAGACTTTCGCCTGGACTTGCTGCTAGTTTTCCTTTTTTTCTCTTTCACGAAACTCTTTTCCTCTATTTGCATTTGTTCTAGGCATTCTGACCAGAATTAATTTTAATTCAATGGAAATAAAAATTAATGAAATAAACTTAATGCATCACTCACAGATGTCACTGTGTTTGCTTAGAAGACGCTATCCGTAGCGATTCTGGCGCGAATGTTAGTGACATATACACGATGCCCAGACACTCCCGTAACGGGAAGAGCTATATAATGGTAATATTTTTGGTGCATTTATTCGTTGAAAACGGCACGTTTATTACATAAAAACTACGAAAATACGCCACGCGAGTTCCTTACGAGAGTAGCAAGGGTACCCATTTAATGTCACCAATACCTAAGAGCCTTTCGTCCATAGCAGTAAGATACCCCACTCTATACCTCTGATTCACAATTCCCCCTTATCAATCGTCCAACTTTTTCATGGATATGACGCAAGTCACATGGTATACCTCCCCCTCTTTTCCTCCCGCTCGCTATTTCCTCACCATATTGACATTTCAGGGGAAGGGGGGAATCACTATTTCCGTTCGCTTTTCAACGTTACGCAGAACTGGGCAAATTTGCCATTCACTCTCGCACCCAAAGAAGTTTCACTTCAATAACAGTTGACGTTTTTTTTGTAAATTAACGAGTATTTGGCGCAGTTTGGCGAAATATTCTTATAATAAATCAATTAACAAAAACATAATAACGATGTTAATCCATCCCCTGCACTACATCCCCTTTGCACTTAGTTCAGCCTGACGTTATTTTAGATCAAACAACCCAGTGTACAATTCATCGACTATTCAACTAAACAGTGCCATTTAATGAAATACTTGAAGCAAGGAACAAACATGTAGTGACAATTTCCATGTGAATTATTAAGACAAGTGTATAGCCTTTTTGAATTGAAGTTGATCAACGAAGCGGTTATTACATTTATATGTAAACTATATGTAAAACCGGCTTTACATGATTTCTAACCTTTAGAGTTCATTTACTTTATTTTTTTTAATGTCTCAACTTGAAGGGAGTTATTGCCAACCCTGGGTGACAAATTAAGTACAGCAATGAGATATTCTTTATAATACTTGTTCATTGTCTTCCAAATGCAAGAAAAGTCCACGCCAGTGGCGCACACAAGGGGGGCGGGTCCAGACCCCCTCAAAGCCCTTGATTCCCCCCCCCCCGATTGCTTATAATTCTATGTGTATAGTTCGTAAAATTTAATTTTGTACTTGTTATTATTCATTAATTTTAATTAATGCTAATTATTTATTCAAAAATTAATTTTTTACTGTTTTTTGTTCTCGAAAATTGACAAAATCAAAAGGGGCATGATACGAGAATGGTGGACTTTCGTCCTTGTACCTCCCCCCCCTCCTTTGAAAAATTCCTGTGTGCGCTACTGGTCTACGCAAATAAAAAACAGGTTCTTTCGGAGTAAATATATTTTTTATTCAGATTTTCTCTTGCAAATACAGATATTCTTTCAAAAGAATGTAATTATAACACACGTAAAATCCTTAACACAAATTTAAAATTCATACTGCAATATAAAATCGCAATCACGATGTCGCTTAAAACTAATGAAACAAGTAACCGCGCTCGTTGTCAAGATTCTCTGCTTCATCCCTGTATAGGCTAGGAAGAAACTTCTACAGAGCTTCTTCTCTCTCTCGGCAAAATAATCCTAGATCATAGGTACTCAACCTTTTTTGAACAGGAGCCCCCTTTTCTTGTGAATATTTCGATACTGCCCCCTTCCACTCTAGAGAAATAAGAGTGTATATAATACAAGGTGAAAACAAGGGTTAAATTAAAAAAATAGTCTCTTACTAATAAAATATATTTAAAAAAAATTTTTAAAGCCCCAATTTTCTTACTTGCGAATCTGAAATAGCTATTACCACAAATACATTTAAATGTGTAGTATATATTTTAGTCATGGATAGGATATATTGTTGGAATTGAAACACTTCTGAATTTCTTCTTTATTTAAAAGAGTGGAGTAAAAGTTTTGGCTTACCTGTTATAAAGACAGGCAGGAGTTTTGATGATACGAAGTAATTCATAATAAAGTATTGCATTCAAAATAAGTAAATTGATTGTTTCAGCCTTTAAAGAATCTCACGTTAATTTCTGATTAACATATTTAATTATGTTTCCTGGATGATTTACGTAATGAAATGCCGTGGACAAAACATTTTTCCTACTGCTCACAGACAATGACAACTGATGCACTACAGAAATTAAAATTTACTATATCATTCAATTT